GTCAAGCCGAAATCCTTAGTAGAGGGTTCTACCCCTTACAGAAAGGCGCCTTTTTTGTAGGGGATTTATCCGCGCGTTCGGGATGTCCTCCCCCCACAGAAGGATTTCAACTGACCTGCGCGCGTTCGGTAGTAGCCTTTACCTCTCAGTGCCCGCAGGAGCTTCGTCCCACATCGACTGAGAGTCGTCTCCCCCCCTCGCATATAAGCCCTTGCACTCAAAGGAGGAGGTACCCACTAGGCACCTGATCAGGTCGCTAGTGGGTACCTCCTCCTTTGAGTGCAAGGGCTTATATGCGAGGGGGGAAGACGACTCTCAGTCGATGTGGGACGAAGCTCCTGCGGGCACTGAGAGGTAAAGGCTACTGCCGAACGTGCACAGGTCAGCTGAAATCCTTCTGTGGGGGGAGGACATCCCGAACGTGCGGATAAATCCCCTACACTAGTCTAACTAAGTTTGTTTTCTATGAGTGCGGCCAGGGAACTCATAATCCCACCAGTGAAAACCTATCGGAATAGTCTCTAGACGCTCTCTTCTGTCCCATCCGTTTTTTTTCAGCAAAAAAAAAAAAAAAAAGAGAAGAGAATTGTTAAGCAATTGGTGCGGCTCAAATAATTATCAAGTTTCTTAATAAGTTTTTTATCTCAAATAATATGATATAATCTCCATCATCGAATATTAATAAGATCCACTTATTTGACGTTAAAATCTATATCGCAATACATGATATAAAAAATCCGATAAAAAAATAAGATTATTGAATCTGTATTACTCATGACTGGCATCTCGAGATATGATGTTGGCAAGGACAGTCCAATTAAGAGGTCATTTTGGGTCTTTCCAGTAATATATTCAAGATGTGTACCTTGTGATTATAGATGGATCCAACACGTTTGTACCCAAAAAGCGATTTCTCGCCACACATTCAAGATGCGTATTTTGTGATTGACAGAAGCGTCCAAGTACAAGGAAGACTTGGGAGAGTCGATTGACTACCCTTTTTAAAGGGAAGTGTTAAGATACCGAAAATTATTTTTTAATATTATATTTTTATTTTTTTCGACAGTAAAAAATTCTAGGTGTGTATTTTATTATTTTATTAATTAATAGTTATAGATCTTCTAATTTAAAATTAAAGTTACGAATCATTTTTTACCACGGTATCAAAGATACCGTTACATTAATCTTTTTTAAAAAATTCTAAGAAATTTACATGTGAATATCTTCCGCAGACAAGAAAATTAAAATCGTTCAACCTTATGACTTTTGAGGATTGAGTGTTTGTCTTGCTACATGACATTTGGACCTACAAGAAAATTAAAATCATTCAACCTTATGACTTTTAAGGATCGAGTGTTTGTCTTGTCTTGCTACATGACATTTGGACCGATAAGAAAATTAAAATCATTCAACCTTATGACTTTTGAGGATTGAGTGATTGTCTTGCTACATGACATTGGGACCGATAAGAAGGGATCTTATAGTGTGAAGTTGTTAGGATTATAATTTTAGGAGGAATACTCATGTTTAAGGAATAATTTATTGAAATCTATCTTATTTTATATTATAAAATTAATAATAATTTTTTTTTGTTTTAAAGTCTAGATCTAGAAGATTTCTTTGATAATAGTGAAATTTTGGCAAGTCCCGTTCTAATCTCGTTCATGTGATCAACAAGAATTGATGTAAACAAAAATAACGATGATGTAGAATAAATGACAAAAATTTTGGTATTTTATTTGAATATGATTAATGCCATTCAATTTGAAAATTTTAGGAGTTTTTCTTGTAATTTTTAATTTAGGGCTAATCTCAATTTTGTACCCCAAAAAATTACTTGAATTTTAGGAGTGATTCAGATAACGTAGCAAACATTCCCGAATCAGTTCCATAGTGACATTGGTTGCCATTTGAACCAAGAAAGGCCAATAGGACGGCATTACTAGTTGCTTGATTGAAGTTGATGCAAATGAAATAATTGGCACTTGAGCTCGGTTTCCAACATCGGCGAGTAAGGTTGCTTTCTACCATGTCTCCATGCCTATAATGGACGCCACATTGTTCTCTTTAAGAAGTTCTTCAGCTGTACAAAAAAAAACAAAGTTAATCCAAATATCTCTACTATAATTTTTTTACCGTCAAAACTTGCTCCATTAAAGGACACCAATAACAGGTTAATTTCATAATTTTCTAGAACTTTAGGGTAACTTGGATTTATTGTTTTTGAAAATAATTACAAGAAATTATGTATAACCGTTCCAACTTACTACGATCCCAATCTCACTTTATTCCCTCAACTGTTAAGTTTTGCAAAAAACATAAATTGAGTCATTTTCTAATTGGGTATCCCGATCGAGTATATTTCAAAGAGATGGAGTCATTTTCTAGCCGGATATCCCGATCAAGTATATGTCCAAGAAGGGGTTTAGTTTCATATTAATCGAAAACTAATGATTCAACACGTTTTTGATGTAAATTCAATTTCTATAATTGTAGTACTGTGAAATAAATAATTGTAGTTGGCGGTATAATATGACAAATGTCAAGGTTGAGGTTAATGTAAAATGAGTAATAATAGTCGACGGTTCAAGGAAGCTGGAGTTGAAATTTCCCAACTAGGCCTTCTTGGCTTGTTGGATTTAGATTGTACCGTTTGACATTCTTGTTACTTCACATCACTTTACGCCAATGCTTTTGTTTATTTTTAAATCCACAAAAATCAGCCAACCATATATCTATTAGTATACACGCTTTCTGTGCACCAGTTAGAAAACATGAGAGTCAAGAAACTAAGCCAACAAGGTTAATTACCTGCATAAGCTGCTTGGAGAGGATTTTTACCAGGGCTGCGAAAATGAAGAGATAATTTGTAATACAAAGAGGAGCTGTTGAAGTTTTGACATGGCATTAAATGGATCGACACGAACACTTTTCATTTCAATACTACACGAACTCACTAATCATCACAGATACATTGTCCGAATCAAAAATAACACTAAATCTACTGTACAAGTTTATAAATAGATAAGATATATATGAATTGACTAAATTTTACTAAGATACTGAACCATTGTTATGTCAACCATTACAAGACATGAGGCTTCTCCATGTGGTAATTGTTTTTTAACTGTGGAAATTTATTCCCTACCGATACATGGAAAAATATTCAGTGCCTAATGGATATTTGGCTGAGAGCCGAACACGCCATGTCCTCAGTGACGGAACTACATGGAGACCATCCTCCCCCCCCCTCCTCTCAGATTTTTAAAATTACCCTATTTCCCCTGTAGGTTTTCAAGAATTCTATGTCCTTGTAGGTTTTTTTTATTTTTAAAAAAAATTGTATAAAGTATATTCAGTTAGTGTATCAAAATACATAATACCATGAGATTAAACATTTACTAACCAAATAGGAAATATTGTTCACAGGGATATGGATGAGTGGGTTCTTATAGAAAAAAATAGTTGTTTGGGCAAATTTGATAACCAACATAAAAAAGAAAGAAATGTGTTACAAAATCAAGGTAAAAATGTGACTTTATATCATCAATAATGTACCAATTCATAATTTACGTTTACAATGATATCATGTGAATATTTACGATGGTATATAAGTCAAATTTTTTTGCATCATGTGAAAAAAGAGGGAATAAGTGATTTGTGAAATAGTTATATTTTGAATTTCCTAATGATAAATAATAAATAGTTTTTGAATTTTACAAACTGAGTTTTTGTGATAGTATTATTCAATGATAGGGTGTTCATAATAAAAAATATAACACAAATAGTAACTTTTTGGATAATCTCATTTCATTAAATTCTTAACTGTGCCACTATTTTTGTTTGCCCCCCACTATTTTTGTTTGCCCCCCACTNCACCCCACCAAAAAAAGAGAGTATAGTTTCGGAAGTTAAAGTACAAGTCCAATAATGAAGAAGGTATTGTGCTCAAAACTATAATATTTTAAGATCAAGTCATAATTTTTCAGATAGGTCACTTATGTGGGAGTAAGTTTGGAGTAATTCTAAATTCAAATATTCTGAGTTTTACTGAAACTTGTCTCTCAATTTTAACGGACATCAGTGATCAATGAACGTTGTAGCTATTTAGAATTTAAGTCTAACATATCGAGAGGTGCCTACCTCGTGATTAACTAAAGATCCATACAAGAAAGACCTCGGGTATAGATATGTCTTATGTGCCAACAGTATTGAGCCTTGTGAGATGACAATATTTAGAATAATATGAAGAATCCCAAAATAGATTCCAAGAAATTTACGTATGAAAACCATCGGCAGAGAAGGAAACTATCTTATAACTTTTGAGGTTGTGGATTTTTGTCCTGGTACATGACATTATTGACGTGCACCAATAAGAGGATTATATTTTTACGAAGAATAATTTTATTTAAAGTATAGTTCGAGAAGTGACATTTTTACAAGCCCGATTCAAAGGTGCTAAAGTTACTGAATAGAATAACAGCCGAACATTTTACCTAGATTAAGGGTAAGTGGATATGGAGGCCAAATGACAGTTTTTCCTTATTAAACAGCACAAATATTTTTTTGGCAAGTCAACTTGTAAAAAGACGTTGATTGAGCAAACGAATGGGTGAGGAACCCAATTATATACAATTGACTCCACGTGTATTTACAATAGCTGATCAACAAAGTCAAAAAACTGAAAGAAAGTAAATTAGATGAAATCTCATTCATTAACCAAGAAATCAAGAAATTTTATGGGTTTGATTGAAAGTTAGACTAAAATTTAGGGGCCAAATACGGTTTTAATATTTATATACAACTTCTATCACTAATGAGTGGCTCACTTGTTCTAATCACATGATCAACAAATCGGAAAAAAGAAACAAAAAACAAGAGCAAAAATGAAAAGAACAATGATAGATAGCCTTTGTATTATGGATAATGGGGCAATACAATAAGGAGGGGGGCACCCAGCCTGTGACATATCTAAGTAGATGGAGTAAGAAGGAAAAAGACGCACAAGTCAGTATACAAGACTCAGTTCCCATCATTCGCCACATTTTAAAAGATTAGAAGTCTGCAATTACATCCAATAAATCTTTCAACAACTTGAACTCTTGACTCCAAGTCACAAATGAACATGCCTTTCTTCATTAGGATTGGTAACTTCAACTTCCACTCGACGTCGGAGCTTGGGATTGCCCCAGAGTCTCTAAAGAACTTGTGTACTTAGTACTAGAAGAGTGAACAGTGTTTGGAATTGTACCTTGAGGTTTTCTCACTACGATATACAAATACTTTACTAACCCAGCCAACTTGTACAACATAGTGCTATAAATAAAACTAATAGATCCCATATATGACTGGTGAGTTGCAAATAGTATATAACATATGGTGGAAATAAAGGCTGAGAAGAGGGAAAGACCCCAAAAACTTTTCCAGCTCAAGCTATCAATCGTGTCAAAAGTTAGAGAGTTTAAACACTTGGGAGAAGGAGTAAACCACAGAGTTTCCAATTGTTCCAACTTACGATTCTCTGATAAGGTCAGAATAGCATGGGAGACATCTTCAGCAATTGGAGAGCCTTTCTGAAATACCTGCATGGTGAGATTAATTTTGTCTAGTGAGCAAACAAATTCAAAAGAAGGGCTGTAAATGAACCAATCTGTTCATGGACAACTTGGTATTACTTCTTCCTTTAGTTTGTTCGTTTTTAAAAATGCATTGAGCTTGGGAATAGTTTTAAAGCTCATTCAATAAACAAGCTAAGCCCGATTAGTGACTTGTTCGGATTGTAGTCCTATTCAAGATAGTTTTAAAGCTTGGCTCAATTCAGTCCATTTGTAGTCCTATTCAGAATGGTATAAAGATTTCAAGTAACTACTCACAAATCCCAAGCCTCCAAATCTGTGACTACCAACAAGTCCATCTGTGGGTGTGGCAACAGTGTACCCTCTGCAAAAATGTTTCATAAAGGCCTTGGAATAAGGAAGTTCAACAAATGCTGCAGTGATATTGCGACTCTCGAATTCTGTCGGATAGTCGTATTCGTTGTTGATGTTCTTGATGTTTCTGGGGTCAAATTTAAGCACATTCTGTAGATACTGTTTTATAAACGAATCAAAGTCACAGCCTACTGGTGCATTGTTTTTCTTCAGCCACTCTATATCTGTTATGTTCGGTTCGAAGCGTTGGACCGTGAGCATTGAGGAGTGGCTTGCAGTGTAGCTTGAGGCTAAGAGAAAGACAACGAAGAGCCAGACCACCACCACTACTCTGGTGTAACTGCTGTGAACCCTTTCCCCTGTGATATGACCAAAAGTGTTTTGAGTTATGGTCTGTTTGATAATGCAATCCAGCACGAAAAGTAGCATATATGAGCTTTTGGAATTAAGTATAACCAATGCAAGAAATAAAACAAGTGTGTAGGCGTACCTAGCCCAATAGAAGAATTTCACATTGCACCTTGAAATTTTGATATATGAGCTTTTAAATTTTGATATTTTTTTTTGGTTGAATTTCACGTTGCACCTTGAAAGACATTAAATTTTTTATTGTGCACCCACAAAGATTAAATTTTTTACATTGCACTCTCAATGTATCAAAAATGTTGCTGTGTAACCCTTCTGTTAATTTTCCGTTAGTTTTTATGTCAGTGTCATGGGATTGAATTTTGACAGAAAATAACATAAGCTAATAAAAGAAACACATTACAATACTTTTGATATATTGAGGGTGTAATATAAAAAATTTAATCTTTGAACGTAAAAAATGAGAAACTTGAAATCTTTCATGCTCCGTTTGATACGATGAAAAAGTGAGAGGATGAAAAGTTGGAAAGATAAAAAATTGGAAGGATAAATAAAATATCATGTTTAGTAAGGAAGGAAAGTAGAAAAGATGGAAAAATGAATGGATTAACTTTCTTTCCAACTCATTAAAATCAATTCCTCCAAAATCGAAAGGAAAGTGACTGAAAAGTTAATTATTTGGGTTGAGATGTATTTTATTTGTCTATATATCTTAACTAAGGGTGAAAATTTTCAATTCAATACGATGACACGACTCGAACTCGATACGAAAATAAACAAGTCAACTCGCAACTTGACACGACACAATTAGTTAAATGAGTTAAATTATGTTTGACTAATATTCGACACAAACCCGTAATGACTCAACACGAATCTGACACGTCACAACTCGATTGTCATCCCTAATCTTAGCCAGCACAAAAAAAAAAAATAGTCATTTTTATTTTCCATTCATACAATCAAACACAAATGAAGGAAAGTGTATCCTTCCTACTTTCTATTCTTGAAGAACATAATGTATATTCCTACTACTTTCTATCCTCCCTATCTATGAAAAAAATATTCAATGCATAGCGCGTACTTGGGTGACAGCCGAACACGCAATCTTATGATACAATTACCAAGAGGCTTGCTTATTGAGATAAAGGACGACTATAGTCATGAAGGAGGTCAATTCAAAACAATCATATTCTCGATTTGATTATTACTTATCTCTCGAGTTTAATGAACAATCGGTAATTAATGGATGATAATTATTTAGAATTTATTTTGTATAAATGAGTCTAACATATCAAAAAATATCTACCTTGTGATTAACATTAGAGCATTACAAGTAAGTTGAATTTTGTGACTCTTTATGTGGTCCATGAAAGACATTAGAGCATTACAAGTAAGTTGAATTTTGTGACTCTTTATGTGGTCCATGAAAGGCACAACTATTAGGACTTGGTCTTGGCTCTTATGTACCGACAACAATATTATGCCGTGTGAGATGAGAATAATACGACGACTCCCACGAGAGATTTCAAGAAATTTACTCATGAATAGGATTGACAGACAAGAAAATTAAAACCATTTTAAATCATATGACTTTGGAGGATTGTGAGTGTTTGTCGTATGCTAGATGACATTGCATGAATTGGACCAATAAAAAGGGATCTTGGACAAATGAGAAGGATTTTTTTCTGGTCAGGAATAAGGATTTTGAATAGGATATTTTTAGTGCTTTCATTTTTTTTTAATTTTTTTTAAATCTAGATCAAAAAGCTTTTTATCATACTAATCATGGCTTGTGCATTGTACAAATCGACCTAAAATCTGTTATAGAAAATTATAAATTGATAAAGGAGGAAATGAATAAATTTGAAAATTTTATTTATACTTTTTAAAAATGATTTTGCAACCGATAGATATTATTATCGATCATAACATTTCAACAACGATTTCAAATGTTGTGATGTGGATCATAAATAATTGTAAATAATTTACCTTTAATAATTGTATTTCTCAATATTGTGCCCAAAAAATAAATGGGTACCGTATTCATCTCCATTATATTTTGATGAATATCTCTTTTTGCTATACATGGAGGAATCTAATCTACTTCTCAAGGAAATCGAAAGGGAATTGTTAAGACCACCGAGTGGGGTGATGATCTACTCGAGTATCAGTCAAATTTCTCACACTGAGATTAGAAGTTCGAATCTTAGAGTCTACATTGAGACTCGATGGTTGACCGTTATATTAATCTAACTAGGTTTGTTCACTAGAAGAGTAAGGAGTACGGTCAAGAGCCTTATAATCTCATCAGTGAAGGTCTATCGAGGTAGTCTCTAAACAGTCTCTTCTTCTCCCACCCTTTTTATTCTCGGCCAAAAAAAAAACAAGAGAAGAGAATTGTTAAGCAATTGGTGTAGCTCAAATAATTATCAAGGATGTTATCATGTTTTTCGTTTCAAATGATATGATATAATATTTATCATTGAATATTAATAAAATTTACTTATTTAATAATAAAACCTACATCAATCTACATCAACATCACATATTAAAGATGATATTTTGTGATTGACAGAAGGGTCCATGTACAAGGAAGACTTGGTGAGAGTCGGTTGACCTCCTTTTTAAAGGGCAGTGATGGGATACCGAAAATTATTTTTTAATATTATATTTTTTATTTTTTCGACAGTAAAAATTTCTAGGTGTGTATTTTATTTTATTTTAATTAATAGTTATAAATTATCTAATTCAAAATTAACGTTACAAATTATTTTTTAACACAATATTGAAAATACGGCAACATATAACCCTTTTTCAAGAAATTTACGAATGAAATCTATCGGGAGACGAAGAAAATTAAAATCATTCAATCTTATGTCTTTTGAGGATTGAGTATTTATCTTACTACATGACATTTGGACCAATAAGAAGGGATATTCTATTGTGAATTTGTTAGGATTATAATTTTACGAGGAGTAACTCATGTTTAAACGAATAATTTATTGAAATCTATCTTATTTTATATTATAAAATTAACAATATTTTTTATTTGTAAAGTCCAGTTCTAGAAGATTTCTTTGATACCAGTGAAATTTTGGCAAGTCCCATTCTAATTTCGTTCATGTGATCAAGCAGAATTGATGCAGACTAAAATGAAGATGTAGAATAAATGACAAGAATTTTGGTATTTTATTTAAATATGGTTAATGCCATTCAACTTGAAAATTTTAAGAGTTTTTATTGTAATTTTTAATTTAGGGCTAATCTCAATTTTGTACCCTGAAAAATTACTTGAATCTCAATTTACACTTTCAAAGTTTAAAAATATTAATTTATACCCGAAAAGACATAAATTCGTATACATGTGCACCTGAGATTAACTATTATCCATTTTGTCGTTAAAAAAGTTTGGACTACTTATAAATTGCACCCTTAAAATTTAAATATTTCATATTTATGATCCAAAAAGAATTTTTTTCATTAATACTCGTTAATTAGTTTTCAATTGTATCGTATTATAATATTTTTGTATCATGTTTGAGTCAATAAAAAAATATTTTTAAAATTTTTAAAAAATTATAAAATCTCTATTTTGGCTTAGAATATTTGTTAAATAACTATTTTTTTGTCTAAGTTAGACACAAATCTTTTGACTGTTCAATCAAATTAAAGTTACATATAAATTAAACAAATGTAGACAGAAAATAGCTATTTAATGAGTATTTTAGGTAAAAATAAGGTACTTTTATAATTTTTAAAAAAATATTAAATAGTTTTTTTTTTTTAGGGGCAAGGGGATTGGGACTTGAACTCTTGATATCAAGAAAACAATGTCTTTAAAAAGACAAGGAATACCGTTGGATTAAAAGCCTATTGGTATTAAATAGTATTATATAAGTTTTTCGTAAATGTGAAATATACGACATAACGCTATTGACTTGACACAAAAAATTGTGTTAAATTTTTTTTTTATTGACTCGAACACGACACGAAAATGGTATAACATGATACAAAATAACATCATACGACACAATTGAGAAGTATCTAACGAGAATTAATGGATAAAATTTTTTAATCATAAATGTAAAATATTTAAACTTTGAAGGTGCAATTTTAATTATCGTAAAAAATTTTAACGATAAAATGGAAGACAGTTAACTCTCGGTACACATTGATAGAAATTTATGTATTTCAGGATGTAAATTGATATTTTTAAACTTTGAGAGTGCAAATTTAGATTCGAGAGATCTTTCAAGGTGCAAGTTGAGATAGCCCTTTAATTTAAATAAGAAACTATTTTATTTTATTTTTTGATTTAATTGAAATATTATTCTATTTGACTTTTTAATTTAATTAGAATTCTAGTTTCCTAGTTGGTTTGGGGTTTCTACTTATTATATAAAATCTTATAAGCCTTAGGGAAAAATATTTTTTTATTATTAAATACAATTGAGAGAGTTTTCTCTCTCTTTTTTTTTTTAAATTTTTAGGTATTTTTAGAAATCAATAGATTTATTGAAACCTTTAGGATTGATATTCTTTTGTGAATTAACAGGCCTAAAGTAAGAATCTAAATCAACATTTATGCACAATCAACTATTATTTATTTATTATCTCCTTTCGTTCATTATATTTTTATTTCTACTCATTTTCCTCTCTCAGTTGATATTAGAGTTTGCAATCTTTCTTAAACCATGTCACTTATGAGAAGTCATGGTGGTCCAAACACAAATGTTAACACCCTCGCATGTACATGGTGGTATAACTCAATTAGAACAAGCAGTTAATGCGTTGGCTATTCAGGTTCATAAATTCACGAATGTTTATCAACGTGTCAATCATATCTCATCTCATTTTATGAGCGACAAGGTACGTGATGTCAAATGCATTTCCTCAATTGCTTCCACATTTCAGGCAAAATTGATGCTATCGAGTTTTTTATGGCGTATAAAAAATCACCGATAAACATGCATGTAAGACCGAGGTGGAAGCAATTTTTCCTAACAAAAGACAAATTAAAATCTAACTCTACTACCAGAAAATCGTCATCTCTCAGTAACACGCGTCCGAATGAAATAATTCAACCGTTCAGACGCCCTTGACAATATACACTAGTTCTTCAAACTACCATTGTCTTCTCATTCTGGCAACCCCATCTAAACGCAATAGCAATCCTCGTTTGGGCATGTATTCCAATAGCTCCATCCTCAACCTCCACTTTTCATCCACCATTATCACTCTAATTGTTGAACATTTACCTACAAAACCAACACAATCCTTCCATTACTATCATAATATCAAATCTTTAATAAATCATTACATTTATCACCTCTTTCGAAACAAATAATTAGTCTTACTCATCAAATTGTTACATTATTCAATAATAATCAACAAACCTAGATCCAACTGAGCCCAATAATCTCAAATCATCAAAAGGCATGTCAGGTTTAGCTCATGGTCTCAGTCCAATTCAAAGCTCAAAAGTCCATGAAGATTCAACGCACGTGAGAGAACAATCATCAGAATAGTCATTATTTAAAGATATTGTTCATCCCCAACTGTAACTATCCTCCTCGATAAATTAGTAGATTTACCTTCACGTCACCGTCTCAGTTACGACTCTATGCCTATAAATTGTAAACCCCCCTCTGCATGGAGGCAGATCTCACACACCTCACCTTGAGCATTCTCTTGCTCTTTCTCTTTCTCTCTCTCTCTCTCTTCCCCCTATTACCTTGTACTCTCTCATTAATAGAGTTCTCCGGCCACCAGTGCCGACTTCAGTGGTTAAGTCACTAGACCCAACCACCCAATCTTCATGTTTTTATTAATAATTATTTCATTTATTGTTTCACACCACATACTCGACTGATTTGATTACACATAAATCCACTTTTGTGTAGCATCATTAACAACTATTTTATGCCAAAATTTTCTTGTAAAAACGTTAACCACGTCGCAAACTAGTCATTTAATTAAGTAAAACAATTAAATACTTGAGGTATTCTAAAATTAGTTAAAAATTAAAATAATATTTCTATATTTTTTTATGAAACAAATGAATAATTTTTTGAGAAACGTAACAATGAAGTGCTTGTTAACCACATATGAGAGTAGGGCCAATTTCCCCTCCTAAGGTTTGTTAAACTTGATGCAATGCCCCCGGCTTGATATTTTGAAAATTTTGTATGAGGACCCTAATTTTAAAAATCTTTTCATTATTTAGTTGCTTTCCATGCGTTCATCTACCCAAGTGATATGTCGTGAGTTCATGTTTAAGTTTTAATGTACCCAACATGAAGTTAAGATTAGTTACCACTTAACTCTTTTAAACCATGCTAATGTCGGAAGTCGTTGCGGTGGGGTATGGATTGTTTTCACCAATTTCTAGTTCCCGTGGATTTGCTTATCCTACATTATTTTTGTTGGTTTTGCTTTTTGTTATGAATCCTAATGGATTTCAAAGGTGCTAAAGTTACTGAATAGAATCACAAGCGAACATTTTAATTAAATTAAGGGTAAGTGGATATGGATGCCAAATTACAGTTTTTCCTTATGAAAGATCACAAATATTTTTTTGGCAAGTCAACTTATGAAAAAACTTTGATTGAGAAAGCGAATGGGCGAGGAACCCAATATATATATATATTGGATGAAATCTCACTCATTAAACTTTATCTTTCTAAGTGGAAAAAAATTGATTATTTACAAACGCATTCAAATAAATAATCCATTTTCCATCAAGACTTCTAAGGAGACGGAATAAAGGTCTAAATTGGGTTGAAATCTCACTCATCAACTTTATCTTGCTAAGTGGAAAAAATTGATTATTTACAAACGCATTCAAATAAATAATCCGTTTTCCATCAAGATTTCTAAGGGGACGGAATAAAGGTCTAAATTTGAACTACTTAAAAGCAGGATGGCTAAATCGAACAGTTTTATGGGCTTGATTGGAACTTGGACTAAAATTTAGGGGCCAGACACGATTTTAATCCATTTAGATAGTTTTGGAGGCCTTTGTCAATCATTTATCAAGATAATATGGGGACAACATCAAGAGCTTTACAAAAGTTTACACGTATGGCTAATATTTATATACACACCTGGGTCACTAATGAGTGGCTCACTTGTTCTAATCACATAATCAACAAATTGGAAAAAATAAACAAAAAATAAGAGCAGAAATGAAAAGAACAATGACAGAAAGCCACTGCATTATAGATAATGGGCAATACAATAAGGAGGGTGGCACCCAGCTTGTTACATATCTAAGTAGATGGAGTAAGAAGGAAAAAGACGCACAAGTTAGTATAAAAGCCTCAGTTACTATCATTTGCCACATCTTAAAAGATTAGACGTATACAATTACACCCTATAAGTCTTTCCATAACTTGAACTCGAGACTCCATGTCACAAAGGAACACGTCTTTCTTCATCAGGATTGGTAACTTTAACTTCAATTGACGTCGGTGCTTGAGATTGCTCTGGAGTCTCTGAAGAACTTGTGTACTCAGTACAAGAAGAGTTGCATTCATAAACCCCTAATGGTTGAACAGTGTTTGGAGTTGTACCATGAAGTTTTCTCACTATGATATGAAAATACTTTACTAACCCGGACAACTTATTCAACATAGTGCTATAATTCAAAGTAATATCTCCCTTGTATGACTGGTGAGTTGCAAATAATAGATAACATATGGTGGAAATGAAGGCTGAGAAGAGGTAGAGACCCCAAAAACTTTGAAAACTCAAGCTATCAATCTTGTCAGGAGTTTGAGAGTTTAGACACTTGGGAGAAGGAGTAAACCATTGAGTTTCCAATTGTTCCAACCTACCATTCTCTGATAAGGTCAGAATAGCTTGGGAGACATCTTTAACAATTGGAGAGCCTTTCTGAAATACCTGCATGGTGAGAGTAATTTTGTTTAGCGAGTAAACAAATTCAAAGAAAGGTCATACATGAACCGATATGTTCATGGACAACTTGGTAATAATTCTTGCCTTAGTTTGTTCGTTTTTATAAATAAATTGATCTCTAGCATAGTTTTAAAGCTCATTCAATAAACAAGCTAAGCCCAATCAATGGTTTGATTGGATTTGTTGGAAAATAATAATAAACACGAATTTTCATGCTTTAGGAGTTATTTTTATGTATTTAATTTTTTGTATTAGTAGGTCATCAATTTGGTATTAGTTGGGGGACAAATTAACTGTGGTATTTTAATACTCCATGTAATGGAGGAGTGGGGTCTTTATTATTTTTATTATTGCATTATGTTTGTATGTCATAAGAGTCTATATGTATCCTATGTAATTCATCCACTTGGATATGAGTGAATAGAAAGAGTTCTTCTTATCTTTAATAGTTTGTTTCATTATATTTTTTAGTGAGTGTGCGATAATCCTCTAGATTCTAACAAAGTGGTATCAGAGCTAGACTTGAGTGATGAAAAAGAGAGGGTGAGAGAAAGATGACAAATTGAATGCTTCCATTTCAAATACCTCGATTCACCAAAGATAACTATGAGCATTGGTGTATCCGCATGAAGGCAATTGTTGGATCTCAAGATTTATGGGAGATTGTAAAAATTGGTTACACAACACCGCAAGATGAAGCTTTCTTAAGTCCAGCCCAAAATGAAGTCTTGCAAGCTTCAAAAAAGAAGGATCAAAAGGTTTTTTCACTCATCCACCAATGCTTGGATGATGCTATGTTACAGAAGGTTACTAATGCAACCACATCCAAGCAAACATGGAATGTTCTTAAAACTGCTTATAGTGTAGTGAAAAAAGTCAAGAAAGTTCACCTCCAAACTCTATGAGATGAACTTAAGGCTGTACGTACGAAGGAATCCAAAATAATTTAAGATTATTTCACAAGAATCTTAGTAGTTGTGAATAATTTGAGAACTTATGGTGATGATCACTATGATAAAACCTGGGTGATAGAAAAAATCCTCCGCTCATTGGACCCCAAGTTTGACTACATTGTTACAGTCATTGAAGAGTCTAAAGATTTAGACAAAATGATGATTGATGAAATCATGGGATCATTGTTAGCCCATAAAGAATGGCTAGGCAAGAAGAAGCAAGAGCCGTTGGAGCAAGTGCTACAAACCAAGCTTTCTTTCAAAGAAAAATAAAGAAGGCAAGATGGAAGTCAAAGAAGTAGAGGGCATAGACGTGGACGTGGAGGTCATGGTGGACGTGGTCAAGGTAGAGGAGAAAACTTTGGCCAAAATGCGTCCAACAAAGAATAAAGAGGTCAAGAATCACATCATGGAAGAGGCAACAATTCAAAGTCATATGGAGGGAGGTATGATAAATCTCATATTCAATGTTATAATTGTAATCGATATTGCCATTTTGCTTCCGAGTGTAGAAATAATTTTGTGAAAAAAAGAGCACACTTTGTTGAAGACAAAGTTGAAGAGATAGAGTCGACCTTGTTATTGGCATACAAAAAAGAGCACAAGAGAGACAAGAACTTGTGGTACCTTGACTCCGGTGCTAGTAACCATATGTGTGAAAATAAAGAAATGTTTGCGGAGTTTGATGAATCCGTGAGTGGAAAAGTCACTTTTGGAGATTCTTCTCAAATTCTGATAATGGGAAGAAGTAATATTTTGATTCATTTGAAAGATGGAAGACACCAATTTATTTCTAATATTTTCTATGTGCCAAATATAAAAAATAATATTTTAATTTTGGGATAACTCTTAGAGAAAGGTTATGATATTTGCATGAAAAAAATCATAATCTTTCAATAACAAATAGAAATAGGAATTTGGTTCCTAAAATGCTGATGACAAGAAATAGAATATTTTTGTAAAATATTCAAAGTGATGTGACAAAATGCTTGAAAGCATGTGTTAAAGATTCTTCTTAGTTATGACACTTGAAATTTGGGCATTTGAATTTTGAAGAACTAACCTTGTTGTCTAGAAAAAAGATGGTGAAAGGATTGCCTTCTATCAACCACCCGGATCAACTTTGTGAGGGATGTTTAATTCGAAAGCAAGCTAGAAAAAGTTTTCCCAAAGAATCTATTTCAAGAGCAACCAAACCACTTCAACTTGGTCACTCAGATGATTGCGGTCTTATAGACCCACCATCATTTGGTAAAAACTGGTATTTTCTTCTCTTTATTGATGATTTTAGCCAGAAAACGTGGTTTTATTTTCTAAAACAAATATCGGAGATGTTTAGTATTTTCAAAAGGTTTAAGGCTTTGACTAAAAATCAAAATGGACATGAAGTCAAGGCAATTAGATTCGATAAAAAAGGTGAATTCACCTCAAATGAATTCAAAATTTTTTGTGAAGAAAATGTAATTCACCATCCTTTAACAGTTCCAAGATCACCACAACAAAATGGTGTTACCGAAAGGAATAATCGAACCATTCTTGACATGACTCAGAGTATGTTGAAGAGTAAAAAAATGCCCAAGGAATTTTGGGTAGAGGCTATTGATTGTGTCATCTATTTGTTAAATCGGTGTCCCCCTAGAAGTATTCAAGACAAAATACCACAAGAAGCATGGGAAGGAATCAAGCCAAATGTTTCTCATTTGCGGGTCTTTGAAAATGTATGCTTTGCACATGTGCCGAATGAGAAACGAACCAAACTAGATGATAAGAGTGAAAAGTTTGTCTTCATTGGTTATGATTCAAGAAGCAAAGGTTACAAGCTTTACAACTCAAGCAATGGTAAGATAATCATTAGTAGAAATGTTGAGTTTGATGAAGAAGATTAATGAGGTTGGAACACTCCACAAGAGGACTATAATTATTTTTCGTTCTTTAAAGAAGATGAGAGCCCAGTAATGAGATTATGGAGCCACCCATTTATTATCCTCCACCATCACCCACCAATGTGTAAGCATCTCCATCATCATTCGATGCAAGCTTATGTGAATGGTCACCTCGCATGAGTAGTTTTCGAGATATTTATGAAAAAATCGAAGAGGTTACTCAAAGATTTAGTAATTGAACACTATTTTGCCTATTTGTCGATTGTGATCCCATAGGCTATGAGAAAGCGGTACAAGACAAGAAGTGGAGAAATGCCATGAATGAAGAAAATGAAGCTATTGAAAGAAATAAAACATGGGAACTTGCCACACTTCCTAGAGGACAAAAGGCCATTAGAGTGAAGTGGGTGTACAAGACAAAGAAAAATGTCAAAGGTGAGGTGGAGAGGTACAAAGTAAGGTAGGTTACAAAAGGCTATTGTCAAAGACCGGGTATTGACTATGATGGGGTATTTGCATCCATTGCTCGTTTAAAAATAATTATATTGATTATTTCTTTAGTCACTCTAAATTATTGGAAAATTCATCAAATGGATGTAAAGTCTGCTTTTTGGAATGACCTTTTGATGAAGAGGTGTATGTTGAACAACCCTTAGGTTATGTTGTGAAAGAGCAAAGAGAGAAAGTCTTGAAATTAAAACAGGCTTTGTATGGTTTGAAACAAGTACCAAGGGCTTGGAATAGTAGACTTGACAAATACTTTCAAGCAAATAATTTCACCAAGTGTTTTGATGAACATGTTCTTTATGCAAAGGTGAATGACAATGGTGATATACTCTATGCTTGCTTGTATGTGGATGACTTGATCTTCACATGAAATTGTCCAAGAATGTTTGAAGATTTCAAGAAAGCAATGGCTAAAGAATTTGAGATGACCGACATTGGGCTTATGGCATACTACATTGGCATTGAAGTGAAGCAAATGAATAAATGTATTTTCATCTCTCAAGAAGGTTATTCTAAATCAATTTTGGCAAAATTCAAGATGCAAGATTGTAATCCGGTATACACACCCATTGAATATGGTGTAAAATTGTCAAAATATGAAGATGGAGAGCATGTGGATCCTACCCATTTCAAGAGTCTAGTGGGAAGCTTGAGGTACTTAACATGCATAAAGCCGGATATTCTTTTTGGTGTCGGTCTTGTAAGTCGGTATATGGAAGCTCCTATCATGAACCATTTGAAGGCGGCGAAAAGAATTCTTAGATATATCAAAGGTACACTTGATTATGGATTGTTATATTCTTGTTCTAACAATTCCAAGCTTGTGGGTTATTGTGATAGTGATTGAGCCAGAGATATAAATGATAGGAAAAGTACTACCGTGTATGTTTTTTTCATGGGAGATACCGCATTTACTTGGAGTTCAAAGAAACAACCCATTGTGACTCTTTCGATTTGTGAAGCCGAGTATATAACAGCTACATCATTTATTTGTCAAGCCATTTGGCTTAGAAATTTGTTGAGGAAGCTTCATTTGTCTCAAGAAAGATTGACGGAGATCTTGATTGACAACAAATCGGCACTAGTGTTAGCAAAGAATCTAGTGTTTCATGATCGTAGTAAACATATTGACCCAAGATTCCATTTCATTATCGAGTATGTGACCAAGAAAGAGGTGGAGCTCAAGTTTGTGAAGTCTTAAGATCAAATTGCTGATATTTTTACTAAGCCCCTCAAAGAGGATGTCTTTTGCAAATTGAGAAGTTTGCTTGGAGTTGAGAAGAAAGTTCATGCTTAAGAGGGGTTGTTGGAAAAATAATAATAAATATGACTTTTCATGTTTTAGGAGTTATTTTTATGCATTTAGTTTTTTGTGTTAGTGGGTTATCAATTTGGTATTAATGGGGGACAAAGTAATTGTGATATTTTAATTCTCCAAGTAATGGAGGAGTAGAGTCTTTACTATTTTTATTATTACATTATGCAGTGGGTTATTTTGTATGTCATAAGAGTTTATATATATCTTATGTAATACATTCACTTGGATGTGAGTGAATAGAAAGAATTCTTCCTATCTTCAATAGTTTCTTCCATGATATTTTTAGCGAGTGTGTGATAATCCTCTAGATTCCAACAGGATTGTAGTCCTATTCAAAATAGTTTTAAAGCTTGGCTCAATTCAGTCCATTTGTAGTCCTATTCAAAATAGTATAAAGAGTGATAGTAACTACTCACAAATCCAAAGCCTCCAAATCTGTGAACATCTCCATCTGTGGGTGTGGCAACAGTGTACCCCTTGCAAAAATGATTCATGAACGCCTTTGCATAAGGAAGTTCAACAAATGCTGCAGTGATATTGCCACTCTCGAATTCGGTTGGGTAGTCGTATTCGCTGCTGACCCTCTTGATGTTTCTGGAGTCAAATTTAAGCACATTTTGCAGATACAGTTTTATAAACGAATTGATGCCACAGCCTACTGGTGCATTGTTCTTCTTTAGCCACTCTATGTCTGTTATGTTCGATTCTTGGCGTTGGACAGTGAGCATTGAGGAGAAGCTCGCAGTGTAGCTTGAGGATAAGACTAAGACAACGAAGAGCCATACCACCACCACTACGCGAGTGTAACTGTTGTGAACCCTTTCCCCTGTGATATGACAACATGTGTTTGAGTTATGGTATGTTTGATACCATAAAGCAATTCAATACATCAAACCAAGTACATTCAACACTTTTCGAGTTAATTATAGTAGATGTAGCCAATTGGATTTTTCTATCTCGAAGTGTACCAAGCGTAGTAAATGGCAAGGGGAAGGAGGATAGCGTTACCATCTAGTAAGTAAGTGAATCTCACACAATTTAGTAATTGCTCCTCTATGTAATCTACTAACCACTCATTTAAAAAAAATAGGGTCTACTTTATCTATTTAGTTGTGTTTTCATTTTGAATGGTGACACCACGTAACGTTGATGATGTGAGATGAAGAAAATGAATGTGCTTTCTTCATGGTACGTTTATGTTTCAACCACTATTGTCAATCGATATAGTCTACTAGAAACCTAGAGGGAACAAATAACAGCATTTAAAATCAAAAGGAACTGATTGCAACAAGAGGCATAGTTGGAAGAGAGAAATTGTAATTAACCCATTAATTAATTAAACCATTTTTTACTGAATTTTTTGAACTACATTGGCATAGGGTGCAATCATGCGGGTTGAGAGATTAAACTCTAAGAGCAATCCAAGATATCAAACTCCTAACCCAAAGTTAATCCACACTATTAACTCGAGTATTGTCAATGATTAGATTTTTGAACTTAGGTTCAACCCAGGTGATATGACACAAGTAGAATTTCGGGTTCAGGATGGACTAAAACTACATTTTTACTTGGGTTTAATTCCTTTATGTAAACAATGTGGGTTGAAATTAGGGTTAAATGTGAATTATGCCTATAAGTCCAACTCAAATATTGAAGTTCTATGTCAACTTTCAAAATATTTCAGATTAAGCTCGAACTGACCAGACCAAACAGCATGCCTGGATTAGTCTAATAGGTTTTGTTAACCAGCTCATCAGAATGTTACACTTTATGGAAAGACAACGATATCGAGCGTGATATCATACTGAAATTTATAATTTTTTATATGCTAGTTATAAATTTTTGATGTGTAAGTTATAGTTACAAAAGGTATATCGTTCTTAAAATGCTATGATCGATCATAAAAGTTATGACTTTTAGAAGTTAAGTTATATTTCGTAAAGAAAAAATTACAATTCATTCGAGTAATTCATGATCGATCATAGTATTTCATGATCGGTCATAAATTACCTGAATGAGTTCTGACTTCTCCTTTGCTAGTGGTAACTTGACCTTTAAAAATTATGATCGAACATGAATTATCTCAACTGGTAGTAATTTTTCCTTAAAAAATAATAATCTGTAGTAAGATAGAATTGCCCTACAATCTATAATTGTTGAAAAGGACACTTACTCTGTGCAAAGAACAGTGAGGTGAATGTGAACCAAAGTGAAGTCCCCAGTTGATTTTGCCATGGGCCTGCAAACTCCGGATTCGATTGACGCTCCAAGAGCCAGACTATGAACACAGTGTAGAGCAAAATGGCAGCAGTCACTGCCCACATTTCTGTGGTGAAAGGCTTCAAGAAAATCCATGCTTTTCCATGCTCAGACTTTACTGTTACTATCATTGACAAACTTGATTCGGCGTATGGCTGAGTAAATTCCACATACTTTGATCGATTGGCCAATATGGTTACGTCACCGATCACAACGTCGAATGTCTTAAATTAATTATGGTACACATTTCAAACATAAGATCTTTGTAAGAAACTGTGAAGCAAAAAAGTCACAAAGACAACCAATAAATTTAAGTAGTAAAACACATAATTCAAGAAATTATGTGAGCAGAAGAACAACAACTAGTTCCTTATCTTTTAACTGAATTAGATCACTTCCAAATTCTGACGAGATCATACATCAAAAGAATCATCGATCTCCTAATTAAAATTACTAAAAAACCAATAAACATCAATCTCTTATCGGAGTCAGATTCTAGAAACGGGTCTCGAAAGAGCCACTTGGCAGTGCTACATGTTTAGGGGTGTCTATGGGCCGGGTTATCAAGGGTCCCGTTACTCGGCCCAAAAAAAATAGGGTCAAAACCCAATAATTAGCCCGTCCGAACCCAATATCTTTAAAAAGAAGACTTGCGTTTACCCTCAAACCCATTACCCGGCCCATTAGCCTGCCCCGCCCACCCTTCCTTTGAAAAATAGTTATACTTTTATACCATTAAACTTGGAACTTTAAACTAAGTCTCCCAATATCGAAATTTGAAATTTTAAAATTTTAGATACTATAAATAATGTATTTTTTTTTCATATATAAAGTATATAAGTTTTAAATGATAGAATAATGCAAATAATAAATAAGTAAATAGGTGTCAACTTAGATGAAATGTATTAATTCTATTGGATGTAGTTCATTCCCTAATAAAAAATAAAATTATTCATGTATTAAGCATACAAGTTTTAAAGAATAGAATAATGTAAATGATAAATAAGTGAATAGATGCCAACCTAGTTGAAACGTATTCATTCTATTGGATGTAGTTCATCCTCAAATCAAAAATAAAATTATTCATTATTTATTTTTTTTCTATTTTGACTCTACTTTTGATTCAAAAATATATTTACATAAATATTAAGTTAGAAAAATATTAATTATTTTTAAATCAAATTGTATTTAAAAAAGCTGACTAGCAAGTCTGCCCAACAAGCCAGCCCAATAAGTTAACGGGCTAGGCTGCGATAGCCTATCCCTACCCTAAATCCCACCCAACTCTGCCCATGAACACCCTATACATGTTGAACACAAAGAAAGCCTTGTTCATAGGCTTTAGGTTAGCCAATCCATGAAAAGTTTTAAAGAATTAATCACGCTTTACCTCAAAGCGCATAACACAAGTATGCACAGACTTGGGTGGGGTAGGGTGGGGTGCGTGGTGTGTGTGGGCAGAGACGGGTCATGGCCCCCCTCATATTTTCAGAATTATCTTATTCTTCCTTTATGTTTTCAATAATTCTATATCTCCTTGTAGGTTTTCAAAAACTTCTTTTCGTATTAAAAATTAGTTATTGTCCATGCCTGAAGGTACGAAATAATAAAAAAAAAATCAACAACAAACATATTTGTATTTACACCTAAAATTAAATCTCAAACACATAAAAGAGATAAATGAATTTAAACACTTGTTGTAGTAGGGGTGAGCAGTGAGCAGCAGTGGTGGTGGTAGGAGATGGTGATGGTTGTGATGGGTGGTGACGACTATGGTCGTGATGGCAACCGTGGGTGGCAAAGGTGATAGTGTTGGTGGGTTTTGGGTGACGATGGTGATAGTGGTAGCCATTGGTGATGGCAGTGGTGGTGGTGACAGCGATTGTGGGTGGTGGTGGGCTACGATAATGGTGTTTGGCAGTGGTGATGGTGGGGTGACGACGATGGTGATAGTGGTAATGGGTTGTGGTGGTGGACGGTGACGATGGTGTTGATGGGTGACAATGGGTGTTTCTGAGTGACAGTGTGATGGATGGTAGCAAATAATAGTGGTGGTGGTGGTAGATGTGGTGGGGGTGGGTGACGGCGATGGTGGGCGACGATAGATGGTGGTGGATTATGGTATTTGAATTGAATTGTATTTTACTTTACATATATTTGAATTTTATTTATTAAAAGTCATTTTATTTATCTTTTAATATTTGAATTGTATTATACTTTATTAATATACTAGTCATTACTCGTACCTTAAGGCATTATGTTACTTATAAAATTTTAACACACAACGATAACATATTTAAATAATTTAAATACTTAGCGATTATATTGGTTATGAACATTTTTTGTTGGTGCAATTGATATCTTATTTTTTTTGTATTGGTCACATATTTTTTTTTTAATTGCTAATTAGCTTGAGCTTTGGATTTTTTTAAAATTTTCTGAGAACTATCGATTTTCATACAGTAATGATTTATTTTTGGTATGAATAATAAATTGATGATTTTATTTATGGATTATAAAGACAATTTAAATTTTGTTGATTGATAAGAAATAAGAAGTAAACATCAACCACCGTTATTAAGATGTGTGATAAGAAAATCTACTTATGGTGTATTCTAGGTGTGAATCAATTTGTAATAAGATGGGTGAAAAATTATATAGTAAGTATATAATGGTTTTTAATGAAATATTATACCAAAGGTTTGGACAAAATCGATAAATCAAATAACTTACATGTCAAAAAATAGTGACATTGTCTATTTGGATACTGATTTTTGTGTTGTAGTGATAGTGTGTATGAGGTTGTTGGGGTCAAACGTAAATTGACAAACCTTGAAAAAATAAGCACTAAACTTAGAGATATTAAGTATTTTATGTGTGTTTAATAGAAATATTTTTAATTTTATGCAAAGTTTTATCGTAAAATTAGAAATTAAACAAAACTAACATAAATCAAGGTACAAACAATACACTTTTAACGTATAATATTTAACAACAATCAGTTAATAACAATATGTCCACAACTAAACAACACGAACATTAAAAATTAAAAATAACAAACTATTGTCAAAACATACACTACTAAACCAACACGAAAAAATCATCAATATTCATAAACACACAGAAATGTTAAACATTTTCTAATTGCACTGTTATAAAAATTAAACATAAAATATTTGATAACTACCCAGTTATAAAAGTTGAACAAAAAAAATAATCAACATGAAATAATGAGATATTTTGCCATTAATAAAATTTGTAATAGATATTCTTTTAACTAATCATTTATGACAATCAAAAATATATTTTGTTCACTTTCAATAAAAATTAAAATTTTGAGAACTATAAGTTTTAATGTAATTCTGAACAAAGTGGTGATTAGGTATGAATAATAGTTCGAAGGTTTTACTTATGTATTGGATATTTGTATTTTTTATTTGTGTGAAAGTGGTGATGACAATTAGATTGATTTTGAAATTTTTTTGTGCAATTAGTAATACTTGTTATTTTTTATTAATCATTAATTTTTTTTATTGGTGATTAGATTGGACTTTGTTTTTTTTTTCTTTTTTGAGAACTATAAGTTTTCATATAGTAGTGATTTATTTTTGATATGATTAAAAACTTTATGATTTTATTTATGAATTGTATATTTATACTTTTTATTTGTGTGAAAGTGGTGATGGTTATTAGATTGGTTTTGAATTAACTACTTTATTATATATATATATATATAGAGAGAGAGAGAGAGAGAGAGAAAGAGAGAGAGAGGGAGAGAGAGAAGATGAGATAATGTGTTTAAAATGTCTAAAAGATAAGAGAGATAGGAATGTTAGAGTTAAGTTCAATTATAATCGTCGGATCATAATTTTTGAGATAATCTGAACCATCTTTTATGTTGAGATTACATTATCCGTTGAATGTGTTTATGTTTTGTCTCAAAACGATCTGAATTTTTTTTGTCTTTTGGATTCAAATTTCGTTCTACTTTATTATTTAGATATATTCAATTATTATATTCAAAATGTATAACAACATTACATTAAACATTTAATAAACAAATGGGAGATATTTTGTTCACGTAGACGAGTGGGTTCTTAGAAAAGAAAATACTTTTATGGAAAAATTTGATGACCAACAAAAAAGAGAAGGATAATGCTGTAAAAGCAAGGTATATCATCAGTAATGCATTGACTCATAATTAATGTTTACAATTGTATCATGTAAATATCTATGATGGTATATAATTCAAAATTTTTGCATCATGTTATAAATGAAGGAATACGTGGTCCATAGAATTGTCACAAATTAAATTTTCTAATGATAAGTAAGAAATAGTTTTTGAATTTTACGAACTAAATTTTTGTGATAGTATCATGCAGTGATAAGGTCGTCTTAGTTTAAAAAATAATAATAATAATACCAACTTATCGAATAATCTCATTTCATCAAATTCTAAATTGTGTCACTGTTTTTATTTGGCACCCTCATGATAAATTCCTGATTCCGGCCGTGTGTGGGTGTGGGAGGGTGCTAGAGTGGGTAAGGTAAGGAAGGATTGTAAAACACATGCATCGCAAGCTGTACCTTTAGTACATGTATAACAATCCAATAAAGTGGAAAGTGCTGGAGAAAACTTCCATCTCGTTTTGCTTAGTTTTCGTGATTTTGACTTATTGAATTAGAAGAAAATTTTTCTTCCAACTGACTTTCAATACCTAGACATTCAAATATACCATGCCAACTATATGCTATTATCTAATCATTTCTCAAAATTCAACCAACCAAGATTTTAACAATATCATAATGGGAGTGGGATTGAGGATAGAGGTTGTTGGGGTGAGAGAAATGCAAATTTTGTGCATCGCATGAACCGTAACTATTATTACACTAGTATGCTTTAGTTGTGCATAGGATAATTAATGATATATAGGAAGACTACAAGGAATGATAGTAAGAATAGAGTAATTATAAGTACCTGGTTAGCCACATGATCAACTAGGTCATTGTAAGTGCCATTGTATGGTACAAATTCATGAGGTAGGGGATAACTTTGCTCCAAAATTTTGAGCGCCTCATAGAAGACATCAATGCAGAAACCAGAAAAACTCCATTCATTCAAACTTGAATTCCAATCCACCTTCACAAATTTTTGGAAAGTAGTTTTTCCCGGAACTCCGATCTTCATAGGCTTTGCATCACTAGGCATCGACCATCCTCGTGGAGTTCGTTTTAGGTCCCCGGGCCAACTCACCAAACTGGCCAAAGTGTCCATGGAATCACCCCTTGTTTTTTGGTCACTTTCTTCATTAACAAGGCTCTTTGAAAATCCTATCGTCGATGACCAAAAGCCGAGCTCTTTGTATCTTTTTCCAACAACATTTACAATTCTATATAGAGAGGACCCTGCTAGCTCTCCTCTATGAAAACGAATATCACCACTTAAACTAGTGAAGTTGCTTGATAAAATACTCTTCAGTAGTGTAGTTGAACCATTACTGCTACTACCTGATGTAGACCGGGAAGAAGGAATTGGGAGAGAACAAGAAAATTGATAAGAAATTAAAAAATATTAAAAAGAATTTAGAGAAGAGTGAGAGAATTGAGAAGAAGAATCAATATTCCACAATTCAATCAATCAAAGTCAACCCAAAAATTATTATTTCCTTAATATAGGTGAACACCAAAGTCCGAAAATCAAATATATATAATATAACTCTACTCCAAAATAAGTGGAAATCAGAAATTAAGAAATAAATTCAAAATAATAAAAAATGTCAATTTCTCAATGGAAAAATTACAGTTAGAGCTCGTCAACTATACCCCTCATTACATATTACACTAGACTATCCAATTTCTCACATTGCACCCTAAACCAAGGGTTTTAATGTCACACTGCTTGAATAGTTAACTTCTGTCCAAATTTTCACAACAAATCAAATAGAATTCCACTTTGTTGGATGTTGGCTTTCTCTCTATAGCTCAGAGGAATTCCTTTTTTGCTCTGATTTGTCATGAAAGAATGCAGAAAAGTTAATGATTGGGCAGATGTGAATCTTGAACAATAATTGAAGAGGCAACGTGAAAAAGTGTAAGGTTTAGGAGTAATGTGAAATTAGGAGCATAGAAGAGGTCTATGTGTAATTTTCTATATTTAAATTCCAAATTTCATCCCCATCACTACCTGCTCGGTTTATGGCATTTGCGATGGTAGTAAGGCTATCATATGCTCGTAGGGCATGAATTCCCATCTCGGAGTTATCTTCCTCAGGGTAATCTGATCGGAAAACTCGCCGAAACTGTCGCCTGAAGTCCAGAAAAGACCTACTGTCTTCAACAAAATATGTCTTGATTCCTAGAGCACCTTCCATGGAGGATATAACAGAAGTATTAACAGAATCCAAGAGGCTCGCAAACGGGTCTGTAATTATCCATGCTGAATCTCTCCCAATAAGCCTCATCTGCTTTGCTTGTCTAAACAAATGAGCAGCCATTGATGAAGATATTTGAAGAACAATAAAAACCCTGGATTGTTTACTCAACAGCTCAGCTACATTTTCACTAACAAAGCCTTTTGGATCAGATAGAGAGAAAAATGGTGGAAGAACCAGACGATATTCAATTTCTACGCCATGATCATGGAGTGAATCAGATAATGTAGCAAACATTCCGGAATCGGTTCCATGGTAGTCAGCCTCATAGATTGCTATGACTTTTCGCCAGTTGAATGAGCAAACAATCTCCATGATGCATCTAATTTGTTCAGTAACATTGGTAGCCATTTGCACCAAGAAAGGCCACCGAGGCGGCGTTAGTGGTTGTGGGAGGATGACTGATGCAAAGGAGACGATGGGTACTTGAGCTCGGTTTCCGACTTCAGCGACTAATGCTGCTTCCTCCCATGTCTCCATGCCTATAATGGCTTGCACATTATTCTCTTTAATAAGTTCTTCAGCTGTTTGAAAAAAAAAAGGGTCAAAGGTAATCCAAATAATTCTACCATTAGTTTCTTTCCTATCAGCACTTACACCATTAAAAAGAACATCAATAAAAAATTTCTTAATGTTAGAAGATTTCGTAGTATTACGAAAAGGCTAATTAATTGCCCGGAAAGATCACCAACTTTTGGATTGCTTAATTTTATTGGTACTGAAAAGATACATCATCAGAAGAAATTATATATAAATTATACTTTGACTCTTTCAACTATGAATCTAGTCTCGCTTTATTCCCTCAATTCCAAGTTTTTCACACCACCCTCTCAAATGCTTGTTTTAGTTTCGTAGTATCCCAAAGTTAAATTGCATGTTTTTAATGTCTACAATTAGGGTAACGTGAAACCAATAACAATAGTTGGATGTTAAATGTGAAAAATATCAGGGTTGAGAAACCAAATAACCATAAGTAAATATGAAATATGTGAAAAGTGACACTTGAGGGGAGAATATAAGATAGATGTCATAGCTGAGGTGGTCAAAATATAATAGATAAATTACATTTACACCTCTTGAACTATCACCATTTTTTCTCTTTGCCTCTCAGCAATCAGATTTCTCATATTACACCCTCAACTAACACTTTTGTTTCACATATCTCCAATCGCAAACATCTGTTATCTTTTTGGACAAAAATCGCTGACGTGTTAGGGTACAGTAAAAAAATTACATAGTTTAAGGGGTAAAATGAAATAATTTTCCGTTAAATATGTAATGAATGTTAATAAGTGGGGTAATGTGAAACTAATGATATAATTGATAGTACAATGTGAGAAATCTGATAGTTGGGGGACAAAGTAAAAAAAAAGGTGATAGTTCAACGAGTATAAGTGTAATTTGCCCAAATATAATTTATCCTACACTTCCATTTTCTTATACAGCTGAATGATAAGAAGTTAGACTATTGAAAGCTTGAAGTCCATGTCAAAGCCCCCACCAAACAAGTAGAATGGTGCTAGCTGGAGTTGGAATTTCAAACTTGGCCTTCTTAGCTTTGTAGTTCTTGATTGTCCCTTTGACATTTTGTTATTCAATATAATTGTAAGGGGTAGAACCCTCTACTAAGGATTTCGGCTTAATCTGGGTTAACGGGCGACCCCCAGTAGCTTTTACCTCTCTTCGCCAATAAGACCATTTTCTAAGGCAATCCCACATCGGAAGAGAGTCATCTCCCCCCCTGCCATATAAGTGAACACTTCCTATGGAGGAGGTACCCACTAGGCACCTGAGCTAGTGGGTACCTCCTCCATAGGAAGTGTTCACTTATATGGCAGGGGGGAGACGACTCTCTTCCGATGTGGGATTGTCTTAGGAAAGGGTCCTATTGGCGAAGAGAGGTAAAGACTACTGGAGGGTCGCCCGCGTGGGTTAACCCAGGTCAAGCCGAAATCCTTAGTAGAGGGTTCTACCCCTTACAATAATTTATTAATTTTTAAATCCCAATTTCCACAAGAATCAACCAACCATATAGTGTACGTGCTTTTGTGTGTGTGTGTTATAGAAAACACAAGAATCAGGAAAAGCCAATAAGGATAAATCACCTGCATAAGCTGCTTGGAGGCGATTTCCACCAGGGTTGTGAAAATGAAGAGATACTCTGTGGTACATAGAGGAGCTGTTGAAGTTTTGAGCAGCTACTTTTATGGCTGCGTTCACTTCTTTTCCGGTACGAGTATTATCGTCGATGATTGCTCCGATGCTCATGGTTTCGATCTGTGCATATGCAAAGATTCCACTGTAAAGGAGAAGAAAAGAAATGAGTGTAGTTGGCAAGAAAATAGTTGGTTTAGAAGCTGTATACACAGAAGTGAGTGGGAAAGCCATTCTGGTTATAGCCTGGTAGTTGCTAGACTTGATGCATAGAACTTAGAACTTGATTTATGAGAATGTGGATAGCACAAATACACATGGCAGTGCATGAATTTGCTTGGAAATTGCAAGGAGAAATGTCAAGTAATTGATCTGGTCATGGAAATGTCAAGTAATTGATCTGGTCATGGACACAAGGTATTAGTAAGCCTAGCTCTAGATACGAGAATTAGCAAGTTTTGGTATATTCTGGCGGGTCAAGGATAACGGGTCAATAAAAAGTTAGATACTAACACAAATGAATACTGTACGGACTCACTAATCACGTCTTAGACATTGCCCAAACCCGAAACGACACAATATTATAAACGGGAAATGTATGAATTGAGTAAATTTTAACGCAATACAAAACGATTTTCATGTCGACCATAAATATTAGAAGACATGAGGCTTCTCCGTGGTGATTGGATCCGCATATGTTTGGTAAAAAGAATAATCTTCTCCTTTGAGAATAATCAAAAGAAAAATGAAAAATGTTCAATTAAAACATAAAAATATGACTAAATTGGTTCTAGTTATTCTTCGGGTCGGAATTTGATTACCCTCGTGTGGTCCATGAAAGGCACACAAGTGAACAACTTGGTCAGGCCTATTATGTGCCAGCAGTACTGAGCCTTGCGAGAATATTTGGAGTAAAACGAGTAAATAAATAAAAGAATTTTTTTGTTTAGTCTGTGTTCGTCATATTGCTTGACATTGTTGACTTGGAACAATTAGAAGGGATCTTGGAAAAATGAGAAGGATTTTGAATTAGAACTTCTATTTTTTGAGCATTTTGATTTTATTAGGAAAAGTTATAACGTTAAGCAATTGGTGCGGCTCAACTTTTAATTGTGCTTAATGACGAATAACTATGTAAGTACTCGAATAAATACGTTTTACTCTAATTTCTCTCTCTCTCTCTTTTACACAGTATTATCGTTGGCTATTTATATATCTTGCTATTAGGATTTTTATGGTTCTTCCTTTTTCTGGCTAATTTTGTGGTCCTCTCCTCATTTGTCCTATTGCTGAACCTGCTAATCTGAAGTTTTCTATGCCCACTACGCTTGGAATAGTTATAATAATAAAATTGACAAAAAATAGACTTAAAACAAAAATAAGTTTTCTTGACGGATATATCTCTAAATAAATTCATGTAAGGGGATCGACCTCCAAATTTTTCTAAATTAAAATATTTTGGATTTGACTCGTATTAATATCTGCCGGGTTTAACTGACAAGAGTGATTCGTGGATGATAATTGGTATACACATTTTATTCTAGGTAAATGGGCGTATCGGTGGGTCTAATGCCATCCTTTTCGAAAGAGACTTTTTGTAATATATGGAAGATTCATATCTTGGATTGATAGACGAGCTCAACAAGAAAGACTTCGGGAGGGTCAGTTGAGTCACCCTTTTAAATATGCGGGCCCTCTTTTAAGGAAAGTCCTCTTAATATGTTAGGATATGGAAAACATATTTTTTGATTTTATATTTTTATTTTTTGGTCAATAAAAATATATCATATGTGCAATTTTATTTTTTATTAATAATTGTAGATCATCTAATTTAAATTAATATCCAAGTTATTTTTCTGCATGGTGACGGATACCTACCTTACCCTTGAACCCTTTTAAATAAGTTTGATTTTGTCACTCTTATGTTTCGTTTAGTATGATACAAAAATAGAAGGATAAAAAATTGAAAGAATTAAAAGTTGAAAGGATGAATAAAACATCATATTTGGTAAAGAAAAAATATAGAAAATGTAGAAAATTGGATGAATTAACTTTCTTTCTAACTCACTAAAATTAATTCCTCTAAAATTGGAAGCAAAATGGATGAAAAATTAATTATTTGTGTTGAGATGTATCTTAGTTGTCTAGATATCTTTTTATATATACATATATTATATATATATTAATTTCATATAAAAATACAATGATAAAATATGTATTTAATATATATATTTTTAAAAAATTTAAAAATAAATTTAAAATAAAAAAATTATAATTATAATTATAATTAAAAAATTAAAAAAAATAAAAAATTTTATCTCAACACGACTCGAACTCGACACAAATTTTATAACACGAACTTGATCATAACTCGACACGAACTTAAAAATGACCTAACACGCAAATAAGAAATATAAACGGCTCATATTCAGTTCAATTTGTCAAACTCAAAATTTATACCATCAACCTCTTTATTTAAAAATAAACACTTTCTCTATTTTCTCGTTTGTATAGTAACACGAAACTAACATGTTTAACATGAATTCAATTAAGTGAAAATAGAATATTAGTGTTAAATTTTGTATTCAAAATTTATGTGGGTCAACAAGAATACAAACACGAACACGAACACGAATACGACGGGAAAATAAATAGACCAATTCGATACGACATAATTAGTTAGATGAGTTGAGTTAGATTTGACTAATATTCGATATAAATTCGTAATGATTCGACACGAACCTGACACGACACAACTAGATTGTCACCCCTATTCTTAACCAACACAAAAAAAAAAAAAAATTATTTTTATTTTTCATCAATTCTACAAAACACAAAAGAAAGAAAGTGTATCATTCTCACTTTTCTTCCTTAAAGGATAGAAAATATATTCCTCCTACTTTCTACCTCTCTTATTTTCTGTCCTTTCTAGTGAACAGAACATTATGTGGTCCATAAAAACAGGACTTGGTGAGGCCTCTTTTGTGCCAGCAGTACTGAGCCATGTGAATCCCCAAGAGATCTCAAGAAATTTAAATATGAAAACTGATGATGCCATAAAATGCACCTCAGCTAAACTCATTACGGTTCAGAATTTTTGAGTTGCGGAAGACTGACCTTTCCTAGCCCAGGTCATCCGGCATAAGTTCCGGCATAAGTAAAGCCAATTCCCAAATCACCAAGTAGTATCTAATTAGGGGAATTCAAATTTCTTATTAATCATAATTTTCTATCCTATCTGACTCTATTCAACCCTATTAAACAGTTAGCCGAAAAAATTGAATAGAAATGCAAAAGAGTTTTTAATTTTTCGATTAAATTGGGTAATTATGTGGAACAGTCATTAATTTTTGTATTTTTACCCTATCCTATCCGTATTAATTTATATATATATATATATATATAAATTAAAAACTCTAATTCCCTAACTATATTGTTTAAACTTAAAATAAATTGTTATTATATTTGTGAAACAATTACGATGGATTGATGCTTATGCTTTTTTGTATTTTGTTGTAATTATTTTAGATTTTAGTGTTATTAGTTTATTATATTATTAAATTGGTGTATGTTATTTAATTAAATTGTTAAAATGATCCAAAAATTAATAACTATAAAAATGTTCACTCAATTTCCTACCTGACTTCCTACCGGATTAATTTGGCTAGAAGTCGAATAGGAATACCACACTTGGTCAGGTAGGGTAGACCAATAAAAAATTATTTCGCAAAATATCGGGTAGGAAGACGAAATACCATATTTTCTACCCGTAGAGTAAGGTGAACACCGCTATATCTAAGCAGTTTGGCCACAATCAAGTCAGTTCAGATCCAATTGTTATCTAATATATGTATATAATTAGAATTAATCATTACTTACTGCTTCAAACTCTAAACCACTAAGTAAGTATACTGCTATATGTGAACTAATTTAAATTATAACATAATATTAAACAGAACTGAAATAGTGTGCTGACAGTGACGTAGAACTTTACAAGTAATAAAAATTCAAAAATTCAGAAGTAATAATAATAATAAAATTCAAGTTTTATGTAATCACAGTTTTTTTAAGACAGATTTATTTTCTCTTGGTATTGAAGGTTGATAAGTACCTATCTCCCAAGATAGAACGGATTTCATTCTTGAATATTCAGCACTTCAATTTTCAAGATTCTAATAAACACGATTCTGTGTTTATAATTGAATCAAACTTGAATAAATAATGCAATAATATGTAGAGAGAGAAGAAAAATTGAATAATTAATTTAGAATTTGGGATAATGGAGAGAGGTAGAATGAGAGAGTAATTCTAAAATTGTTCAATGGTGTGATTTGGGAGTGCAAAGCATCACCTATTTATAGATTCGTTAGTGTTTTTTCATAAATGGTGTCTTTTAATCCAAAAAGTATCAATTGTGACTTTATGAAAAAGTATAACCATTTGAAATGATATATTTTAGTTCAAGAGATATCAATAGTGACTTTTATGAAAAATTGTGTATGTTTGTTTGTATCGGTGTCGTTAACTAAAAATCACCAATTTTGAACTAGTAACCTTCCATGTCATATTTTCTTCATACTTTTCCAAATTCTCTCAAAAATCACAAAAATATTTTAACAATTTTTCATTCAATACTTAATAGTTTAAACAAATAAATATCAAAATATTTATTTAAAACAATTATTTCCAATAGTAACCATAAGAAGGAGAAGAGTTCAGCAAGTCCATCCTATCTTGGATAGTAAGCCACCACCTCAAAAATGTCACTTCACCGCTTCTAAAATATCACGTGTTCTATAGATACGTAATTGTCTCTAATTGTCAAATATTCCCGGATGATTCTAACAGATTTGGTGGGGAGATCACTTCAATCTTGGATAGGGACAAAAGATTACCCAGAAATAAATAAAAGAGGATGATGCCCTACGAAAAAGGAATCCAACCTTCTATAAGCAGTGATCTTCTTCTCCACCAGTTTTGAGAATACACATAAAAGTAAGAGACTTCATTGAATACTTTTGTCTGCTTTACAGTGACCTAGACTAACTATTTTGATGAACCAATCATACTTTTGTCTGTTTTACTTGTTCTAGGATTGTCTACTCGAATATTTTACTCAATCGTTTGGTACTCGGGACCCCTCTCATATGATACTCTGTTTTTCATACCATCAAAAACCATTGGCAGACAAAAAAATAAAAATAAAACCATTAAATCATGACTTTTGAGGATTGTGAATGTTTTTCTTGCTACATGACATTGTTGACTTGGACAAATATGAAGGGCTCTTTAAAAACTGAGAAGGATTTTGAAGTAGGACATATTTTAGTCCTTTTATTGTTATTTTGTTAGGATTACAATTTTATTAGGAATAATTTTTTTTTTATGAATTGATTGAGAAGGTTTCAGTGATAGTAGTGACATTTTTTGCAAGCCCCGATCGAATCTCGTTCATGTGATCTTGTGCAATCGTTCTTTTATAGAAAAATACTTATTTTTGTATGATATTATTATCCACGAATAAAATTTACATTTTTTCAATTTCAAATATTCTTAATTTCAAACGCCCTGATCACCCATTAATTAGTAAGTTTACTTGATGGTGGTACAAAAATTGCTTTTTTATAACTCTTTTATCACGACCCAAAAAAAAAAATAAAGACTTGGTTGACTAGTGTTTCCATTCAACCAAAAGACCAACCAAAAAAATTGAAGACATAGTCTCAATAAAAAGAATTGAACACCATGGCGGATTTGCATGGAGTCTCACAGAAACATATTAGAGTAAGATAAATTTCTTGAGCAAATCCTTTAATCGTGAGAGAAAAGGATGAAAACAATGAGCTCACCCCAAATAAACCCACTTCTCGTTATCTTGTTCTTAGTCAAGTTCCCGTACCTACTCATTACTCCAATCCTTCATTTCCACAAATACCATATAAGTAGTTTCCAAAAGACTCTTTCCATGCAATTTCTTGATGTAGCCCTTTTAGTATACAATTTAATGCTATTATCTCAAAGTCCCACATCATGGGAGTTACTCAGCAAAATGACATCCTAGAAACTTCTATTTTACGTGGCTGATTCCAAATAATTGAGAAAAAAAGTGCAAATTTTTAAGAATGAGAATCTCTTATGAATTTCATCCATCCCTACAATCTATCTTGACACTTGAAAGTTGGATCAGTTGTTTCTCCTTACACAAGATATTCTACTACGTCCAATTTCAATGAAATAAATGATGCTCACTGAATGAATTACTTTTCACTTTTATATATGACTTCAGATATTCAATAATAAAATTATTTTTCAGGCGAGTGCGATGTTTGGATACGAAATTAAGGTTGATCTAAGTTAAAAAGCTCTATTTATTTAAATTAGTGGTCAAATTAGGTGAAAAAAGAGTTGGGTTGTTTGTTTATTCAAACAGCTAATTCCAAGTGCAAACTTGGAGTACATGTGTTGTGAATGAATTAACCTCCTCCTCCAAAGAATATTTTATGAGAAGTTATGCTAAGCAAGCACATTGATGCTTCGTTGGACTGCAGAGTTGAGGGTATGCTTATGACTGTCAATTGGGTCGGATGAGCTGGATTTATGTTAAAAAGCACTGAACTCATTCCCGTTTCATTTATTAATTTGTGTTTAATGAGTTGTGTCGTGTATGAACCATGTATAAACGAGTCATATTGTGTATTTCTTTTAATTGATTTCACTCATATCTGATACGTTTATTAATTAGATCATGACGGTCCCTTGTTTACGAAACGGGTGACATAAAGAAGATTCAAATCCTTTAATTTCGTGTGATGTTATATTTTGACACCTCTAGGTATGCCCCCAACTCTAGCCGCGGTTTGGGCTAAAATACTTTGTAGAAAAGCCCAACGCGAGGCCCAGCCCATATCTTATTTTATTCTTGACACGGTTTTGAATGGAAGTGCAGGGATAGGTGAGAGAAAGAAGCCGAAGAACAGGTCTGTGGTCAAAGAAATTACAGGAAGAGCCATACTACTATTCAAACTTTGATTCTAAGGCTTTCAACTTCTCTAGATTACATCCCAGAGTTGTGGAGAACTGGATTATCGCGATTAGATTTGAGGGACCCAAAAAATAATTTAGAGTTAGTTCAATAAAAATATATTAAACTTAATGCGCAGTGAGATTTAATTGATTCAGAATAAAATTATACCAGTTAAATCGGGATGTGTGGCGCAACAAGAGTTAAGCATTTAAAGGAGTATAAAAAGGGAAAAATTTGGGTTTTTCACCCATTTGCCTCCCAACGGGTCTTTTGGTCCAATGATACTCCTTGCCTTGTGAAAGTTTTGTCTTCTTAAGGTCAGGGGTTCAAACCCCCTTCCCCTCTCCCAAAAAAAAATAAAAAAAATAATATTATTAAAAAATAGAGAGAGAGAGAAAGAGAAGAGAAATTATCCAAGTCCTATTCACCTTCTTTCTTAAATTTGCAAAAATTCAACTATTAGATCACTTCGGACCATGAATTAAAGTTACTCTACGCAACAAGGCTACATAACCATACCTAAGATCGTGACTTTCTCCAAAATCTCAAAGACGGAAACCAAGGGCTAAGACTTGGAAGGCTTGATTTGAGGTGTTTGAGATTTCTACTACGCAGGCTCACTCTACAAGAGATAGAGTTCTCTCCTATCTAGGTTTATTTTCAACCTAGGTAGTGATATAAAATGGGTAGGGTTATAGAGATGTAATCTCATATGTTAGCTCACACTTAGTGTATCTAGGATATGAAAAATGGGTATGAGAATATGTTAAAACCATTTCTTGCTTGATTTAGGTTTGATGAAATGGATTGTTTTGGCTTGCTGCGTGTTTACATTTTTTTGCCTACTAAGTGTTTAATAAAATGCTTATAAATTCAAGTATGTTATTTGGATTGAAATTACATGTGACATGCTTGGGAATAATGCTATTTATACTTGATAATTTAATGTGTTGTGGTCATTAGCCACATTATAAAAAGATGATATACTACCTCTATAATTCTCTCCCTTTCATGAGTTCTTCACTAACACAACACCAAGTCCCGCCAAAACCACCAGATTTATCCTCCAAAACACCACAAACTTATGCTTCTCTATTCACTAACCAATCCTCACAAACCATTGATACGTCTCAAGCACAAAAAATTGACAAGCCTCTGGTATTTTATCAAGGGGAGCCAACATTTTACTTCACTAATGAAGAGATACAGAAATCAAGTTAGCCCTTTCAATATGCCTTGATTGGTAAATGTTCTTACGGAAGACCTTCTCTTGGTGTTATCAAAGAAGTTATCAGATCCAAATGGAACCTCAAAGGTGATTTTGAAGTTGGTTCTATTGATCAAAGGCATGTTCTTATAAGATTTGAACAGTAAGAGGACAACGTCAAGAAATGGCTGAAAGATGCAACATCGATCGAAGACTACCTATTCAGATTTTTCAAATGGTTTTCAGGCTTTGTTCCTAGCATTGAACCCTCCATTGTGCCTTTCTGGATTTCATTGTCTGGTTTGCCTTTGAATTTCTTTAACAAGTCTTACTTGGAGCTCTCGGTAAAACCTATTGGAAGAGTCTTAGCCTATGAGTAGGCTACTCTTTCTCTATCAAAGCCAGGGGTGGCAAGAGTATGTGTAGAGGTCAATCTACTGCAGAACAATCCTAACAGGATTTGGATTGACATGGGTGAGGAATGGGCAAGATGGCAAAGAATAATCTATGAAAGAAGGAAGCAATTTTGGAAGAGCTGCAAGAAACAGGGCCATGGAGAAGAAACTTGCAGGAAAAGGAAAGTATCACTAATGGGGGAAGAGAGCCAAGGAAAGAATCTGGATTTGGAAACAAATAAGACTGATAAGGTAATCAAGGAGCAAAGCAAGGGGAAGGAGGTATGCGCACCTCCCCTTTCCTCCCAAACAAGGCCGGCTCATTCATAAGGCCGCTAAAGAATGGGTTTTAGGCCCCAATTAAAAAAGAGCATCAAATTTAAATTATAACATAGTCCATACAAAAAATTTAAACCCATAAAAATTGATTCCAACAAAAAAAAAATTCAATTAAAATTTTAAGTAACAAAAAAAATCTTAGTTAAATTATTTGGGCCCAAAAATATAGTCCAATGACACACAAAATTTAATTTGGCAAAAAAATTAGAGAAATTTGGAGGTCGGTCTCTTTTTGTAGACTAATTTGGTGATAAGTCCATCAAAGAAACTTGTTTAATATTAAATCTATTTTTATCTCAATTGTCCAAAATATCCTTATAGTTATATTTAATTAACACAAATTTGAAAACTAATAACTCCTAAATTTTAAAAGTTTGATTAATATTAAAATCTTCTCTCTCATATCTATGTATATCTATATATAGAATAGAACTATATATTTCTCTCTCTAATACATACATATATACACATATGGAGAGAGAGAGAGAGCGAGAGTAACATTCAAACACAAAAAATAGTAATATTTAAATAAAAAAAATATTAATATTTAAAAATAAAAAATAATAACATTGAATATTAATATTTAAAAAAATAATATCACTAACATGTTGAACAAAAAAAAAGTAATATTCAATATTAACAGTAACATGCTCATCAAAAAAATAGTAACATGCTCAACAAAAAATAGTAACAGGAAAAAAATTAATAACATACACAACCAAAAAAAAAATACTAATATGAAAAACTAGTAAATGCGATTTTCATTTATAGACATAGAGGTACCAATTTCGATTGATTTGGGAACTTGAAGTTACTGTGTATTCAATTTGAATCCGAATAGTGCGTCATGTTCTTCTCCTGATCCGAACGATCCATGACACTTTTCAGCAATGTGGTTGAATCATTATTGCTACTACCTGATACATACCAAGAAGAAGGAATTGGGAGAGAATAAGAAAACTGAGAAAAGAAAAATGAAAAAATTAAGAAGAATTCAGATAAGAGTAAGAGAATTGAGCAGAAGAATCAATATTCCATAATTTTATCGATCAAAGTCTGCCCAAAATTTGTTATTCCCTCATTATAGGTAAACACCAAAATCCGGAAATCAAATATTCGTAATTTAACTCTACTCCAAAATAAGTGAAAAATCAAAAATTAAGAAATAAAATCAAATAAATCTGAGATTATAAAGAAATATCAAAATAAATTTCTAAATGGAAAAATTATAATTATACCCCTAAATTATGCCCCTCATTTCACACTGTCATTAAACTATCCAATTTCTCATATCACACCGTAAAATAATTATTTGAGTTTCATATAGCTTTAATGGTCAACTTTCTATCCAAATTTTGACAGCAAATCAAGGTAAAAATAGAATTCCACAATGTTGAATATGGTCGTTTTCTCTTTAATTCGAAGGAATTTCATTTTGCTCTTATTTGTAATGAAAAAATGAACAAAAGTTATGATGGGCCGACGTGAAAAGTCGTAACGTTTAGGGGTAACATAAAACAAGGGGCATAGAAGGGGTCTATCTGTAATTTTCTTTTTCCATTTCTAAACTCTAAATTTCAATTCCAATCCTCTCCCAATTACCTGTTCGGTTTATGGCATTTGCAACAGTAGTAATGCTATCATATGCTCGTAGGGCATGAATTGTCATTTCGGAGTTATCTTCCTCAGGGTAATCTAATTGGAACACTTGTTGAAATCGGTCCCTAACGTCTAGAAAAGACTTACTCTCTTGAGTAAAATATATCTTAATTCCTAGAGCACCTTCCTTGGAAGAGATAACAAAAGGATTAACAGAATCCAAGAGACTTGAGAATGAGTCTATAATTATCCATGCTGAATCTCTCCCAACAAGCCCCAGTTGTTTTGCTTGTCTAAACAAATGACCAGCCATTGATGAAGATAATTGAAGAACAATAAAAACCCTGGATTGTTTGCTCAACAATTCAATAACATTTTCACTAATAAAACCTTTTGGATCAGCTAGAGAGGAAAATGCTGGAAGAACTAAACGATATTCAATATCTATGCCAAGATCTTTGAGTGACTCAGATAATGCTACAAACATTCCCGAATTGGTTCCATAGTATTCAGACTCATAGATTTACCCTTTATTTCCCCACTTGTATATCTATCTGATTAGAAGTTAAACTGTTAAAGGTCATATGCTAGCCCCACCAAAGTACCAAATAATAAAATTGTTTGGAGCTGGAGTTGAAATTTCCCAACTAGGCCTTCAAAGCTTGATGGATTTAGATTTTACCCTTTGACATTCTTGTTAATTCAGTAACATCTTTTGAAAAAGTTAAAAGGACTGCTTTAAAAGATTTCAAATCAGTTTACATCAATGCTATTGTTTATTTTTAAATCCACAAAAATCAGACAACCATATATGTAGTAGTATACATGCAATAGTGTGTACCAGTTAGAAAATATGAGATTCAAGAAACTAAGACGACAAGGTTAATCACCTGCAAAAGCTGCTTGGAGGGGATTGTTGTTTTTTAATATTTCAAAAATTATAAAATTACTTATTAAAATTTTTAATTTCAAACATGTAATGTACTACAAATCAGTAACTAGGATTAGAAGACATGAGGCTTGGAAATTGCGTATATGTTACTAGGATATTGAGTCATTGTCATGTCAACCATAAGTATTAGAAGACATGAGGCTTGTCTGTGTTCAACACACTACCCTATGGAAAAAATATTCAATGCGTAGAGCGTACTTGGGTGATAGCCAAACACGCAATCTTCTGATACAATTATCAAGAGGCTTTTTTTATTGAGATAGAGGACGACTATTGTTATGGAGAAAGTGTCCTACTCCTACTCAAAATTATAATGTTTTGAAGCAATCATATTTTGAATTTGATTATTACTTATTTCTCAAGTTTAATGAACAACAAATAATTAATAGATGATAGTTATTTAGAATTTATTTTGTATAAATGAGTCTAACATATCGAAACATATGTATCTTGTAATTAACAGAAGAGTCGTACAACAAATAATTCGGGTAGGGTTGGTCCCCCTCCCCCCCTTTTCTCTTCCCTCCCTTCGACTCCTAAGTAAGTTGAATTTTGTGACTCTTTATATTGTCCATGAAAGGCACAACTATTAGGACTTGGTCTTGGCTATTATGTACTAACACCAATATTGTGTTATGTGAGATGAGAATAATACGAAGAATCCGACGAGAGATTCCAAGAAATTTAAACATGAATAAGATCGGCAGATAAGAAAATTAAATCCATTTTAAATCATATGACTTTTGAGGATTGTGAGTGTTTGTCTTATGCTACATGACATTGCATTGCTTGGACCAATAAGAAGGGATCTTGGACAAACGAGAAGGATTTTGTTTCCTGGTCAGGAAGAAGGATTTTTAATGGGATATATATAGTGCTTGCAATTTTTTTTAATTTTATATCATACTAATCATGGCTTATGCATTGTACAAATTGACGTAAAATCCGTCATAGAAAATTATAAATTGATAAAAGAGGAAATTAATTAATTTGAAAATTGTAGTTACACTTTTTTAAGATGAATTTACAACTGATTGAGATTATTATGGATCATAACATTTCAAGGACGAATTAAAATGTTGTGATGTAGTCCATAAATAATTGAAAATAATTTACCTTTAATAATAGTATTTTTTGATATCGTGCCCAAAAAATAATGGGTATCGTAATCTTCTCCATTATATTTAGATGAATATCTCTTTTGCTATACAAGGAGGAATCTAATCTAATTCTAAAGGGAAGCGAAAGAGAATTGTTAAGACCACCAAGTGAGGTGGTCTAGTGGAGTATTGGTCGAACTTCTCATACTGAGGTTAGAGATTCGAATCTTATGGTCCATATTGAGACTCAATGATAGACTATTATGCTAGCCTAACTAGGTTCGTTTCCTAGAGGAGTAACGGGTGTGGTCAGAATTCTCATAATTCCACCAGTAAAAATCTATCGGGATAGTGTCTAAGCACTCTCTTTTATCCACACCGCTTTTTTTCTCGGCCAAAAAAAGAAAAAGAGAGAAGAGAATTGTTAAGCAATTGGTGCAGCTCAAATAATTATCAAGTTTCTTACCAAGTTTTGCCATAGAAGGAGGAATCTATTATACTTCTTAACCGAAGCAAAAGAGAATTGTTAACACTACCGAGCGGAGTGGTTCAGTGGGAGTACTAGTCGAATTTATCATCCTCAGGTGAAGGTTCGAGTCTTAGAGTTCACATTAGAATTTTGTGGTTGACCGTTATGTTATCTTAGCTAAGTTCTTTTTCAAGAAGAGTAACAGGTGCGGTCATGGGCCTCATGATCCTACCAATGAAGACTTATCGGGGTGATCTATGAGCACTTTCCTTTGACCTCACCCCTTTTTTTCCCAGCAAAGAGGGAGAGAGAGAGAGAAAGTTGTTAAGCAATTGGTGTAGCTCAAATAAATCCGTTTCAGTAAGTTATGTTTGTCAAGGTTCTTATCAAATTTTTTATCTCAAGTAATGTATCATAATTTTTATCATTAAATATTAATAAAACTTACTTATTTAATAGTAAAAATTATGCCACATCATATAAGATAAAAAATTTGACAAGTACAACATTTTTTAATCTATGTACTCATATGACGTCGGCATGGATAGTCCAATTAAGGGAAAGGTCAGTTTGGATCTTTCTAGCAACATATTCAAGATGTGTACCTTGTGATTGTAGATGGGTCCCACACAATTTCTCGTCACATATTCAAGATGCGTGTTTTGTCATTGACAGCAAAGTCGGTTTAAAGGGGAGACTCTCCCCAGAAAAGACTTGGCGAGAGTCGGTTGACTCTCCTTTTTAAAGGGAAGTGTTATGATACCAAAAATTATTTTTTAATAACATATTTTTATATTTTTCAGCAGTAAAAATTTATAGGTGGGTGTTTTATTATTTTATTATTTTTTAATTAATATTAATAGATTATCTAATTTAAAATTAACATCACAAATTATTTTTTAGTATGATATTAAAAATACAATAAACTTTAACCTTTTTTAAAAGATTCCAAGAAAAATACATATGAGAACATCGGGAGACAAAAAAATTAAAATCATTCAATCATACGACTTTTGAGGATTGAGTGTTTGTCTTGCTACATAACATTTGGACCAATGAGAAGGGACCATTTATTGTGAACTCATTAGGATTATAATTTTACAAGGAATAATTTATTCTTAAAGTTACGGTTCAATGTAAGTAAAAAATAATAGATTTAAAAGAGAAAAAAATTCAATATGAATGATTTTTAGATTAGTGTTCATGAAGTCATGGTTCTAATCTCGTTCATGTGATAAAGCATAATTGATGAAGAATAAAACAAACATGCAGAATAAATGACCACAATTCTGGTATTTTATTTCAATATGGTTAATGACATTCAATTTGAAAAATTTAGGAGTTTTTGTTGCAATTTTTAATCTAGGGCTAATCACAATTTGCATTCTGAAAAATCACTTGATTCTCAATTTACACTCTCAAAGTTTAAAAATATTAATATATCCCCTAAAAGACATAAATTCATATCAATGTGCACCTGAGATTAACTGTCATCTATTTCGCTGTTAAAAAATTTTGGACTAATTATAAATTACACCCTTAAAATTTAAATATTTCATATTTATGATCCAAAATGAATTTTTCCATTAATGCTTGTTAATTAGCTCTCTATTGTATTGTGTTATTATATTTCCATGCCATGTTCGAGTCAATGCAAAAAAAATTATAAAATACCTATTTTTGGCTTAGAACACTTGTTAAATAGCTTTTTTATATCTATAGTTAGACACGAATTTTTGATTGTTCAATCAAATAAAAGTTAAATATGAATAATACAACCGTAGATAGAAAATTGCTATTTAATGAGTATTGTAGGTAAAAAATTAGGTATTTTTATAATTTTCAAAAAATATTAAATAGTATTATATAATTTTTTTTGTAAATGCAAAATATATGACATAACGCAATTGACTCGACACAAATATTTTGTGTTAAAAATATTTTTTTATCCACTTGAACCCAATACAAAAATAATACGACATGACACAAAATAACATGATATGACACAATTGAAAGGTATTTAACGAGTATTAATAGATAAATTTTTTTTAATCATAAATGTGAAATATATAAACTTTGAATGTGCAATTTGTAATTATCACAAAACTTTTTTAATGGCAAAATGGATGACAGTTAATCTCCGGTGTACATTTATACAAATTTATGTCTTTTAGGGTGTAAATTGATATTTTTAAACTTTGAGTGTGCAAATTTAGATTCGAGTGATCTTTCAAGGTGCAAGTTGAGATTGACTCTTTAATTTAAATAAGAAACTATTTTTTTTATTTTTTGATTTAATTAGGATTTTATTCTATTTGATTTTTTAATTTAATTAGGATTCTAATTTCCTAGTTGGTTTAAGGTTTCTACTTATTATATAAACTCTTATAAGCCTTAGGGCAAAAAAAAAAATTATTATTAAATACAATTGAGAGAGTTCTCTTCTTCTTCTTTTTTTTTTTTAAAAAATTTTTTTTAGGTATTTTTAAAAATCAGCAGATTTATTGAAACTTTTAGAACTGATATTATTTTGTAAATTAATAGGCCTAACGTGATTGATAGATAAATAGAACTGTCACGATTTTCTGACGAACATTTAGGATTGAACCACGTAGATATAAATTAAGAACATTAGGGAACAAATAGACACAATTGATAAATTGGGGACCAAATAGATATAATTGAAAGATTGAGAATCAAATAGACACTAAACACATATTTTGTTGACTAAAAATGAATTTTATCCAACAAAGTATGTGGAAATAGGCTAATTAATTCCCGGTTTCAGCCATCACTATGTGACCACCCGAGGATATTTTATATTATATTATTTTTAAGATCAATGGCCACAAATAAATCAACACAAGATCAATGGTCCATCACAACTTTCGGTACAACAGTGCTAGTCCTAGGTAGGAAGCAAGGAAACAACAATTGAGTTGAGATTAGTAGACCGAAGTCAATCC